GAGACTACCACAACAAAAAGAAACCAATAAGGCAATAACGTGGGGTTAGTTGCGTATTCACGCGTGACTACGCAACAGGATATGGTATCACACCATATTTCTCGCTCACCAATTATGATCACCTGTAAGTGCCTGGATGACCTAGTGCCAGTGGTGGCCTGACACTGACAGTCACGCAGTCCTAGATTCTAAGGTGATTGGTGCACTTTGCAACAAAGTAATGGCAGCCATTTTTGTTGCAGTGGGACTCAAAAGTTCATAGTAGCATCATGGGAAAGGCAATGCTTCATCAGCTGACACGTCCTGTATATCAAACTACTTGAATCTTGTACGGCAAAGTTTAAGAATCTCGAGATTGTATTATGATTTGTGATGATTGTTGGCTTTATTGCCCACAAAAGAGGATCTGGACTCTAGAGGGTCCATCCCAGCATGTCATCTGCCACCGCCCAGTCAATACAATTAAGCTTTTAATTATTTTTAATATTTAACGTTCCAACTTGCAATTACTTAAATATCTCTTCTTTTCAAATTTTTTTTTTCCTTTTTCCTTTTGGTTTTTGAATGAATCATTTGTGTCTTTTACATGCATTTCACACGTTAGTTCAGCCTTCGGATTGGGTTCCTCATCATTACTTTTGTTTACATTCTTTTTTTAATACGCCCATGATCACTTTAATTCATTTTATAAATAGTGGAAGTCATAGTTATCTTTGTTTATTAAAGTTTTTTTTTTTGAAAATTTTTTTTAAAAAAAATTAATTTTAATGTATTTGATATTAAAATTTTTAAAAAAATTTATAAAATAAAAATTTCATGATTTTTAATGTAATAAATAAAAAATCTATAAAAAAATAATTTTAAAATGTAAAAATAAGAATTTTATATATTAAAAAAAACATATTTTCGGGATACTTGTTAAAAAGTGAAAAAAAAAAGAAAAGAAAGACTGGAGGAAATAATCAGAAACACCTTACTACACCCGTATGTTGAGACTTTAGATTTGGTAATATGAAAACAAATCTCTCCATTATTGAAGATGAAAGGATATATTTTCTATTATTATACCTTTAGATTTGGTAAGACAAATATAAATTGAATTTAAAAAGTGATAAAAGAAAGAAACATTTCGCTGTCAATATGTCACTCGCAACAAGAGAGGGAAGAAAGGAAGTTGTGTGGAAATGAAGTTGGAGTCTTATTGTGGAAATCCATTTCGGGAAAGTAAAAACAAATGCAATTGATAATGCTTCTCTATCAATTATTCTACTACTAATTATATATCAAGGTGTTAGTTTACCGAACCATATTCCTTATCTTTCATAACCATTTATTATTGGTAGGCTAAATAATGGCTAGTTGTAAAGTAAGTGAAGGTGCTCATATTTCGGTGTTAATTCAAAAATTAATTAAATTAAATTTGATGAATTTAAAATTTTAAATTAATACATTTAATTTAATTAATAATAAATATAATATAAATATAATTTTCAATTTAAAATTAATTGAATGAACATATATTAAAAGTAAGTGTTAATTTGCTGCTATATCCTATTGTTGATATTAGAGAGTGAAAATAAAATTAATGTTGAATAAATCACTATCCCACTGTAGGACCGCAAATTACATTTAACCAATTTACAAGTCAACTATGAAGCTTTAAGATGTTGATAATGTGTCCCATTAACGGAATTGCACAACACACAATGCTAATAGGTAAAGGTATGCTACAGTTGCTGGTGATCGGTTCTTTTATGAGTTCACTTGTTGTATATCTTAATTAAAATTAAAAGAGTGTTATTAGGACAATTTTAATAAACCCTTTATTTTATCTCTCTTTTCAATTTTCTAATTTTGTGGCCTTCAAAAAAAGATTTACTAGATTTGTGAAAAGTGGACAGAATTAAAATTTTGCTAAAAGGAATGCGTCTCGGTTAAAAAGTAAGGCTTCCATTGGACATAGTCTTAGAGATATAAATTATTTTAGATTGGATCGTCAAATAATTTTAAATTCTAATTATTTTAAATTTATATTTTTATAAATTTAAATAATTTCAAATTTATTATTGTTTTAGATTTTAACCGATTCATATTTGATTTATTTTGAAATTGACCAATTGAGGTTAATTATAATTTTAAGTTTTTTTTTTTAGTTTTTGCGAAATTCAATCAATTTCAAATTAAATATAATTATTAATTATAGTTAGAATCTTTTTTAAGATTTTAAAAGTTTTTTTTAAATTTAGGTTTTTAATATTTTTTTATCAAACTAGATTAGACTGAGTGTTATCTAGAGCCAGTTTGGATGATTAATTGGGCTTGGGAACAAACAATAAAGATAAAAAACACCGATAACGATAAAACAAATTGTAGCAAGTAATCATAAAGAAAGGAGGGAGAATTTAAAAAAAATAATAATGATTTTTTATAATTAAGTTCATCGTAATTCAACCCTCATCACTTAATAGGATGCTTGGTAGAATGAGAAAGGGAAAGTATGAAATAAGGAAAGTTGAAAAAAATATATTTTTTGAATGTACTGATAAAAGAGAAAAATGAAAGAAACAATTAAAAAAATATAATTTTTCATTCTTATTCACCAAAATAAATTATTTTAAATTGACAAGATAACAGAAAAAAAATCATAAAAATACGTAAGTAAAGTATGCAAATTACAAGATTTTTCATTAGTTTTAGCTTTTTATTTTTTATTTTAACTTATAAAAATTATAATAATAAATAATATAGTTTTTATTTTTTCATTTTTAATACTATAAAAAATTAATGATTTTTATAATTTTTCATTTTTTTCCACCAAATATATAAAAAGTTCATATATATTTTTTCATTTTTTACTTTTCTCTCTTTAACTTTTTGTATTTTTATTTTGAGTTAAATATAAAAATAATCTTTGTACTTTCTATCAAATTGTTACCCAAATAAATAAAATCGTTAGCTTGATACACTAACTTTTATTCTATCATTTATCTTAATATCTAAAACTAACATCATCAATCAATTTACTAATGTGTCGTAAATATTTAATAAGATGTTGATACGCGTAAAAAAAATTCAATCATCGTTATATCATTAATTATCATATCAGTATTAAAAAAAAATTCTAATTTTTTTTAAAAAAATTATAAAAAATTGAAATATTTTTTTAAATTAAAAAATTATGAAACTTAAAAAATTCTAAAAAATTTCAAAATTTTAATAAAAATCTAAAAAAATTCAAAAAACTTAAAAACTAAAAATTAAAAAAAGTTAAATTTTTTTTGAAAAAATATTGAATTTTTTTTATTTTTTATTAGAATTACAATTACAATTAAAATTAAAATATTTTAATTTTTATTTTTCGAAAATTTTTAGAATTATTAAGATTTTTTAAAGAAATTTTTAGATTTTTAAAATAATTTTAGATTTTTTATCTTTAATATTTTTTTTAAATTTGGGATTTTTTTAATCTTAAGAAAATTTTATTTTTATTTTTTATTTTTTTTTAATTTTAAGAATTTCTTTGATTTTTATGAATTTTTTATTAAGATTTTGAGATTTTTTGAATTTTTAAGTTTTCATAATTTTTAAAATTTTTATAATTTCAAAAAATATTTCATACTTTTTAATTGTTTTAATAATTTTTAAAAATATTTTAAATTTTTTTTATTTTTAAATTTTTAAAAAAATTTAAAAAATTTTTATTTTATACTAAAATAAAAATTAATTATGTGATACTAATTAAATTTTATCGATATTTGATTAATATCTTATATTAAATATTCATGATATGTCAACAAGCGAACTTCGTCGTTAACCCAAAATATTAAAGAAACGACGAAATAAAAATTTACATACTAAACCAAAAATTTTATTTTTTTAGGCAGTAAAATTAATATATATATATATATATATATATATTATATAAAATACATAATCCTATCGACTCAGCCAAATAAAAACCATAAATCTAATAGTGTACAAACTCTGGGTAGCCGGTGGTTTTGCGGAAGTGATGGTCTGTTTGATGGTATTGTTAATTTCAGATGGCGCCAAATAAGAAGCTCCTAAATGAAATGAATGGATGGGCAAAAACAGTCTATCCACTTCTTAAAGAGTAAGACTTGCTGCCTGCCTGCCTAGCTTATGCCTTAGCATAGCACCTTTCTCTTCTTTCTCTTCCGTCTGTCGGTTACTTCTTTCCTTCTTCAAATCCCTCTTTCTCAGTTTCGAAAGCTATCTCAGCTGCCACCCTCTTCAATCTCCATTCTCTCTGTGTAAGCCCTTTCGCTTCTCTTACTTGCTTTTCTCTCTCACTTCTTACTATATTTGGTATTAATTTTGTGTTTCTGCTATCACTTGGTTCCACTCTGTTCTACATATTGGGTGTTGGGTATCATTTGGGTTTGGCTATGTTTTATTGTTATGCTGAATTCTGTTTCTAAAAATTTAAATGTACAGAGTGGAAACTGTGACTTAAAAAAAAAAAGCAAAGAAACGTTGTTTTTGGAGGTGGGATAAGAGGCCACTTGTTTCAGTAGGGACTAGGGTGCAGGAAGGTATTAATTCACAGGAAAACCTCCCAAGTTTATTAATTTCTTCATATTTTTAACCCCAAAATGAATATTCCTTGGAAGTTGCCTAAGTTTTGATGGACCCTTTGTTTAGTTTCACTCTTCTCTTCTGGCATTTCATTTGTCCGAAGGGACTAAGTGCGAGTTTAGTAGCTAGTGGCAGAAAATGTGCACTCAAAAACATGTAGTACAAGCCAAATTTTATTCACGATCAAGCCAACTTGCACACAGTTTCTGCCATATAACTTAAACCTTTGTCTCCTTTAGAAATTTATGTTTTGTACCAAAATTTCTTCTGTAAGCAGCTGTCTGGAATATAGATCTGTTAGTGTTTTTTTTGCCATTTTTTTTTCAATAACCTGAAACAAAATGCAATTTGCTTGTTGTTCATTACTAGGTATACGCTGGATCAAGTTCAAAAAGCACCTTCAACAAATTAGTTTCTTTAAAGCCTACCTGAGGTTCATGGAATTTGGAGGAAGAAAATGTTCAACAGGCTACGGCAGGCCTCCATGGATATTCAAAGGCAGGTAAGAGTCGGTCCTTCTCACAAAATTTCGTTTGCTATTATTTGGTTATTATGCTTATCTTTCTTAGCCAGGTTATTGAATGGTCTGAATTTTATTTTCAGTGCCTTGTATCAGCTCCATCTTGTGAAAGCTGAAACTGCTAGAGCATTCATACCAAATGAGTTCCGCTTAGTTGAAGCTTTTGGGTAGTCGTATTTTTACTTAGAAGTGTATCGGGTTGATTGTGGAGATTCTGAAAGTCGGTTTTTCACGAATTGTCCTGGATATGCACATTGCAGATACACACTTGGTGGTTTTTTCCTTGCCAACTATGATGACAGCCCTGCAGGGGTCTTTGATGAGGTTTCATACTCTCATTTTGGATTAATGTTTCCATGATGCATTAAGTGGTTGAATCACACTTTATTATTGAGATTAACGAAATTGATCACAGGCTAATCAGATAACTGTTTCTTTGCCAGCTTGTGGTGATCGCAGGAATTGTGTGGAATCCTCCAACGTCTTGCGCGTATGTTTTCCGTCCACTGTTGTTTTTATTGATTAATACTGTTAATTATCATGTGAAGAAAATTCATCATATTTTGAGTAAATTCCATGGCCCTAAACCTTAACAAGTCAGGGCACTACTAAAGGAAGTTCTGTTCTTAATATTCATGTTTCATGGGGGTTTGGCTTGAGCTAGTAAAAGCGATGAGCTACAGAAATTAGGTGGAACCCACCAATCAAATGCGTTTAACTTTATCGGACAACTTTATAACTTGAATGTCTTATTACTGTTCATTAAATTGTGCAACCATTCTTATTACTTTTCATTAGTTTATGCTGCCAAAGGAACCATTCAGAGTTACTTATTAGTGACATTTGCAATAGAATCAAGTAGCCATTTTTTGAAGTGGGTGTTGGATTCATGTGTCAGGAAGAAGAGCGCTTTAAACTGCTTTCATCACCTAATTTCCCCTCAGTAAACCATACAGGTTGCTCACGTATTTAAGCTACTTGTTTCCTGTCCAAGTTGAATGATGATCTAAAGGAGAAGCCAATACACTTTTATAGAAGCATTGGATGGACTGTCCAATTATCATTTTCATATATGCTTTTTCTTATGCTCTCCTCTTCTTTTTCCTTTTTTTATTGAAGCTAGTTGTCTCCTCTTCTTGTTTCTCTTTTTCTAATTTAAATTTCAACAGATGGGCAGCCAGGGTTCTTGTGAACAGTGAACAAGCTTGTCATCATGGGCGGAAGGTAAGACATGAAAGTTTTAGCATAGAATAGCTTTCTAGGATAGTCATTTAACAACTGAAAATAAAAATCTGGCCAAATAGTCTTTTTAACTCCAGACCAACTACAAGTAAAGCTTTTCTCTACCCTTGACTCCTGCGCCGCCAATGGTCCAGCATATGAATGTTGAATAGGGATATAGGGCTCCCGGTACCCAATGAACCAAAGGCCTTTTTAAAGCAATTAATGCCTTAATTCCTTTTGTTCTACTAATGGAAGTGTGAAATTGCATGCATTTTTCTTGCAGGACGTAGGGCTTCCAAGTCAGGTAGCCAGATTTTCCAAGGTACTTCTTCTGCCAGTTTTACTGTAGCTTCTCTGGCACAATTAGTCTAAATTTGTAGATTACACGTGTCAATACCTTTGTGAACTCTTTTTCAGTTGGGGTTCGCTTGATTATATTGATGGTATAATCATCCTACCTTTACAAGATAGGCTCAAAGATCCAACTGTGCCATGATATTGGCATCAAGAATTTTTATGAAAATTGATTTCAATCTGCATTGAGCCCAGAATGTTGCAAGGTCAAGGGCACTTTAATTCATGTGAACAAACATAGACATTATTTTTGGTCACTTTGATTGATGTTTTCTGTATTTTGTTTGAAACAGAGAATTACACCAGTTCCTAGACAAACAAAGGGTAAATTTGGTGGCTTTCTAAACATGATTGGTGTTAGCACTACTATTTGCCATTCAAAAGATTGCATGGACGTTCAGGTGACAGAAGTTGTGGGTCCAACTTCATCAGATATCTGTAATATCAAACTTATAACTGATGGTGAGTTCAAGGTACTGATTGTATTAATTAGTTCACAGTTCATAGCATTTGGAGTTCTAGCTCCTAAAAGAATATCCTTCCAAATGGTTTAATTACTTTTTTCTTAATCTTGCTATAGATTTAGCCTCACTTACAAAACCGCCTAAATTCGTACGTAATGAAACCTAAACAAGTGTTTAACTTGTAACATAATCTGCACAAGACTGTAGAGCAGTGAGGCTTCACAAATGGTTGTCTTTCCCAGATTTTAACATATGAAGGTATGGTTTGCAATCTTTATCTGCTTTTGCATGTCTTGTTTGTCAAACAAGCTTTAGGATAGTGAAGCACATGTCTTAGATAGAACGAACTTCTTGGGTAATGCGACATTTTCATGTAATTAATTTCTGATTTTTGCTAGGATAAACTCTTCCTTGATGGCTCTGCTTTCTTCTGTTCTGTGTAATGCCCTCCCACTTCTTGGGCATTTCCCAAGTGAAGCAGGGGATTATTATGTAAATGAATTAAACTCACTGCAAGACTCACTTAAATTTGCAGTAATCAGCATGCCTGGAATTTCTCTTTTCTTCTCTTTGCATCTAGCATTAATACTTGTTAATTTTATGGTATTCTGGTGATTGCAGTGCCTACAACGAAATTCAACAAATGGATGGGACCATCAATCACAGTCTCACTTCCAAGCTTTAGGTAATTTTCTAAATGATGTGTCTTTCACAAGTTTTCACTTTGAAGTAGATGTTAATTTTTTTTATTTTTTGGTTGTTAAATTACAGTGGCCAAACAGAGTATAATCCCAACCTTTTGAAGTATTCTTGCCGCCTTGCTTGCAGGTATTTCAGATATTTTCTTTCTCTAGTATTATTTTTCACCACTACCTAAACCCCTCGCCTCTCTTTTTTTATTTTTTGTTTTTAGCAAAGGGACTGAACCGATGCATGTTACATTTACTGCTTTAAAACTAACATGTATTAGCTGGCCAAGAAAAGATCTAACGTTTAGGAAAAGCAAGAAGAAAAGTAAAATTTGATGAAAAATACTAAACAATTGAGAGTTGACACTTGAGTCACCAACTGATGTAACCCAAACAGATAACACTATTGCACTAAATCGCCTTGTAGCCATTCTTGAAGCAAAAATCTCTTGTGCAATTCTATGTTAGGATGGTTTTCACCCTGTATTTTCTGATTACATTATGGATATTAGTACTCAAATGCTTGTCATAGCTAATAGCCTTGATTTGCATATCACTAATTTGAAGTAATGTTCTTCCCACATCCCTTTTTCTGACTGGAAAAAGGTGAAAATTTAGAATTAGAAATGTCTTTCTTTTTCCCCAAATGCCAGAATGACTTTCTTAAAGTGTCTCTTAATATTTTACATGATAGAGTACGAGCAGTGCGGCCAGCTAAAGTATCAGGGCCATCACCTTTAAGGGGCAGAAACTGTGATTCTGAAACTACAGACTTAACAGCTGAGGAACTTGTAGATAATGGAAGAAACCTCAGCATATCGGTTATGTTATCAAAGCCTATACTAGCTTTGGAGTTCAATTGCTTGGAAATGCAGGTTGAAGCTCCCATCATACTATCCAACAACTCGACAAGCTCTTTACGAGCAGCTTGAGCATTCTGCTTGTTTGTTTGTTGTTTTGACATAACTAATAAAATTCTTTCCTCCATACCGCCTCCATTTTTTTTATTCAACTTGCTTTTTTGCATAAAGCAGGAAATTTTTTTGGCCAAAAAAGCAGGAAATGTTGAAGTTCCAGAAGAGAACACTCGTTTCTTTTTTCCTTGAGATCTTTACAAAAATGTTTCTACATCCAATAAGAAACCAACGAATAAACAAACAAATGCAATTTTCATCTTCAGACGGTTAAGAACTGCCTTCAGCAATCAAACTTACGTACAATATCAACCTGTACTCTCAACCCAAGAACTGATCAGGAGATCAGAATGCTTCTGATAATGGCCGGCCTTCCAAATATGCCTTGAACAGAACCAGTGATCTCTAAGGCTGTGAGAATGGAGCTTCATGAGATGCTCCTCTAATTGTGGCTAAGGATAGGATATTACCATAAACTTGAGTCCACCTACCAACCTGCAAGGGAAAAACAGATATACTTATCTTTCACAGATTGTAACAACATCATAATAATACCATAAAGTTCAAATTTCAGTAATCTCCATTGTGATTTACCTGCTGCCCCTCAAACCAAACTCGGTAAAGCACAGTAGTTTTCAGACACAATTCCTTCGCTAGTCGATTAACTAATGTTTGACTTCCAGTCAATGGGATAACAGAATCTTGATCTCCACTTTATTTAAAAACCTCTGTTATGAGTACTATAATCAACCAAACAAAATCATATACGATATATTTTTTTAATACAGAATCTAAGGATAGAAGAAGAGGTTATGGGCATAGGATTTGAATCTCAAATTCACTTCTTGGGCATAAGATTTGAATCTCAAACTTCTTAAAAGTGGTTGCATGAATTAACTGAGCTAAGATTCAAATCTCAAATGCAATATATTTTAGGAAAACTTTTAATGTGAACCATTTACCTGTATACCATCACTGTAATTCCTGCTTTCACGAGTCTGCCCACAATTGTGATTGTTGGTATCTCCAGATCAAGCAGTTCATAATGTAGGACACTGATGAACGAAATAGAAGGAAGATAATTGGGCGACCTATATGAAACAACTCACCATATGCACAAAGCCTCAAATCTGAATAAAGAAAGTAAGCAGGAATATCTGAAGCTGAACTTCCATTATTCTTGTTCCATGGTTAAAAGGTCTATGAAACTTTATTGCTGACTATAGAAAACAATAATCATTGGATATAAATTCTGCAGAAGAGAATTACGTTCTGCAAACAGCCCATTTACGGACTCCTACAAGACGTGCATAGAGAGCCTTACGGACATCTTGCCTGTTTAGATAATTAACTGTTTCATCTTCTACACATACATCTATTGTCTCACCAACTTGCTGTTGGACAAAGAAAACGTCCAAGTTAGAAAAAGACTAGAAGGAAAAAAAATGAAGAACCCAATCTAGTCTATGAAAAGTATCCAATTTAAACTCACTTTGGGAGTAAGGACTCTGGATTATGACAGCACTGATGATATACAGACATCAAAGTTAACATCATACTTGTCCACGAATCTACTAGTTTCTGTACTTAGGTCATCACCCTTGAACAAATAGGAGAAACAGTTCTTGTATAAAACTCGCCGAATAGTGCAAGTAATTACGAGAAGTGGTGAACATTTCGTACGTAGAATCCGATATTAGTCCATGAGACCAGAAGAATTCAGCCCTCGAATTAAAATCAGTAGCAAATTCTAAAACAGGGTTGCCCAGCTGCAGTTAATTGGAGCAAACAGGAATAGATATTATAGGTCCCTCCCTTGTTAAAAAAAAAAAAAAAAAAACTGAAAAAAAATATAGAAATTTCTTTTGCTAAACTACTTACAGCAATTCCTTTTAAATTGGACAGCTTATCCTTTTTATTGAGCTGAAGCATAATTTCTGCCAGCTGGGGTATATAATGACCTAGTTTTAGACATAATAAACAATTACTGTTGATTCATATATAAACCTTGAAACAAAAAAGATATAGTAATCATTTTGAGTAGCAAAATGATACCAGCATAGCTTTCCCCTGTAATGAACAGGCTTCTATTCCTGTACTCGGTGAATTTGAGGAACCATTTTTGCAAAAACACAAGATTGTTCCTGGCTACAATAACAAAGAGAGACAAAGTTTGAAAGATGAAAGGTAGCCTGGAAAGGTGGACTTTTGTCAATTGAGAAGGAAAAAGAAAAGAAAAAACAAAATAAGAACAGTAGGCATCGAACATGGCATTACGTGAAAGACAAACACACACGGCTATGGCATCTCTACATTATGAAATATTCTAGGACCCTTTGCGTGAAAAAATATAGGGAAAAAGGAAGGTTAAGAAAAAAGTAAGAGAACCCAAAATTTAGAAAAGGGAAAGGAAGAGAAGTTCTCTTGAATATTCGGTATAGAAAATCTGTTTCTTCTCCAACTCTAGATTACTTGAACATATAGGAATGTGGAGTTTATTACTCTTCTTTTTTTCTTTTGAAAACCAAAAAACAGGATTATACATTGGTAAAATCTGTCAGATTGGAGAGTTACCGGTGATGTTGTCATTAACAGCCTTATATGAGGAGGCGTCGGAGGAATAAGAGAAGCCGACTCCAATTGGGGACTCAAAATACAACATATTTGCTTCTGCAAAAGAATGAGATTGCTACCAATCAAGTTCTTGAGGTGTTTCTGAAACGCTTACAGAACATATAACAATAAATAGATAAGTATACCTCTATTACAGCTATATTCGTTCTTGACCAACACTTCCCTACTAGGCCTAAATGGTCCATTCTCAGAAAATGCGCCAACCCCCAGTGAAGAGCAGCCGGTCCCTACAATTCACAAGCAGAAAGTTAGAAACCATTGAAGAAACATCATGTTCTAACGTGAGACTGAGAGACTGAAAAAAGTAAGAGATCTCCATTGAGCCAGAGGACAAGAGGCTTGGAAGCTGGATCTACTTCAGCTTCAACAAAGTAGTAAAACAAGGCTCTCTGTTTTTTCTCATCAATGGTCAATAACCCGAGTACTGTTGAAACCCGACTTTGGGTTGACCCGGTAACCGACTAATCCGATCAAACAGAGCTGGAGAACACTCCACTTGAAAACAAAACCAAACCCGAAGCATAATCAAGCCAAATGCCAACGATCTCCAGGGTAAACAAAGCATTTTTTTTATTTTAAAATTTTTTTCAGAAAAGACAGCAAAAAAACCCAGAAAGATAAAAGAAAAGAAAAGAGAGTTTATAGCTACAATGTTGCTAACTGGGGGTGCATTTTATAAGGGGAGAAGCCTCTTATTTTCTTACCATTCTATTACATCTACAATCTAGATGCGCGTTCGGTAATTCTCTCTCTTTTCTTTTTTTCTTTTTCACTTTGAGATGGATTGAGTTGAGTTTTGAAGGTATTATTATTATTATTATTATTATTATTATTATTATTATTTTAAGAGCTTAAACAGGCGCGCGTTGGGTAATTCTCTCTCTCTCTCTTTTTTTGTTTTGCCTTTTCACTTTGAGATGGATTGAGTTGAGTTTTGGAGATGCTGAGCAGGAGTGGGTCGGCAAAAGGTAAAGCGACTGTTACTGAAAATTAAAAGACAGAATGCGCATTTGAAAGCCCCCTTTTGACGACAATTGCTCACGGAAGCCACAGCCTGGGCTTACACCACCATTGGTTTTTTTTTTTTTTTTTGGAGAATTAAAAAAGATACAATGCAATATAAATTTTTATTAATTGTTACTGTAAAAAGAAATTAGTAGAAAGAAAATGACCAAAATTTTAATTTATAAAAAAAATTATTTTTACGATGTTGACTCTAATGTAGAGAATTTTTTTCTTCCACTCTCGGCGTGTCTGGCTTTCACTACACCTCCTTTCTTTCCCTTATCCTTTTTCTCTCTAAAAAACCCAACCTTCCTTCTTTTCCTTTTGATGTTCTTAGCTTGATGAAGATGAACCATTTCTGGGTTTTAATTGATTATTATTCTTTCAAAAAAATTTTCCTTCTATTCTTTTGCTATAGATTTTAGATGACCTTAGAGAAACAGGCAAAAAAGTAGTGGAGAATTCTAAATAAACCCCAACAATTTAATTTAACAAATTATTTCTAAAAACACCTCATTTTTACTTGCTCTATCGCACACTTTAAATTCAAATTTTCATAAATATCCTCACACCTTTTCCAATTCTCTCTTCCCTCAAACCTAATTTCTAAAACAAAACCTAAAATCTAATTTAGATTCAAAGAAAATCAACGAAAATCAAATTATAAAACTTCTAATTAGAAGTAATTTGTTTGTTTTTTATTTAAGTTCATTTGATTTTGTCGTTAAATTTTAAAAATTTTTGGGTGAAATCAGTACTATGATTCATAGGTTCTAAAAATGAATTTTTGAAAATTTTTTTAAGTTTTCAAAAATGCATGTCCAAAATATTAGAATTTTTAAAAGTATATTTTTGAAAACTTTAGAAAGTTTTTGGATTTATTTTTGAAAAATTTTAAAAGTTTTTTGAGATGCATATCCGAAAACTTTTTAAAATTTTAAAAAATGCATGTCTAGAATCTTTTTAGAGTTTTCGAAAATACATGTTTAGAAACTTTTAAAAATTCTAAAAATGCATGTCTAGAAATGTTTAAAAGTTTTCAAAAATGCATCTTTAGAAACTTTTAAAAATTTTTGGAACCTTATATTTGAAAACTTAGAAATCTCACAATAAGTTTCATATTCCATACCTATATCATTATGTACACATTGAGTCTTGTATATTTGCTTCGAGAGTTAATGTTTTGACCATCTAATACATATAAAAATAGATATAGCATGGATGAGAGGATGGTAGATGTGCTACAACCGATATTTAAAGGCATCCGATTGTCCTTGAGAGGAGATGATGAGTCAAGTAACATGCATATGAGCCAGTTGTTGATTTGACAAAATAGCTGGATGTTCATCCCCCAAAGTCATTTCTTAGGAGGTTGACAAATACTATTTTGCTTTAGAGCTTCAACACCTAATACTGCAACATAAATATGGAATGGCCAGGTAATAAATTCAATGAAATTGATGTTTATTTTTGTTATTTAATGTATGTAAAATTAATAATTAGTTTTTATTTGTTGTTGTTGTTATAGAAGTGAGGTACCTTAAAAGCAATCAACCATGGGACAAAGTTACAGCATTGGCTTCTATATGCTTCTCAACAATGTATTTTTGTAAACGTTGTTCGGTCAAGATTGCTATCATTGATTAATTGCATCTATCGTTTGTCTAACAATATGATAATTTCAGTATTTGTTGAAATGTGGCTACCAAAGACAAACATCTTTCACATATCATTCAACGAGATGACAATCATGTTGGATGATGTTTATACGATTTCCACATACTCGTCAGGGGGACAATGATATCAGTTCAAAAGTTAATGACGAATTAGGTGAATGCGTTGTTGGTGAGGTTACTCGAAGTATCAAAGGTTGTAGTAGCCAATGAGACCAGAATTTCACGTGGTGCATCTGTTAGGTAACAATGGCTATAGGATACGTTTAAAGGTGTTACCATAGCGTTTTTTATTGAGATGTGAAGTGTGCTACCAGAGCTTTTTTGCTCTATCTATTTGTCAACAAGAGTGAAGATAAAGTATTAGTTGCATACTTACATCTATTGAGTGACTTGAGCACCACTGGTACATATGCTTGGGGGTAGTTTACTTGATGTATTTATATAGACAGCTTGGTATAACAAGTAAAGCTTAAGTTCATCAGATTGCTAATTATATTATATTTCTTCAAATATGTATATTACATTGGTTTAATGTTTTGTAGATTAGTTATATTTGTTTATTTGATTTCATGTAACATATAATTTATGTTTGTTTAATGTAAATGTAGACATGGATTTATTAGCACTTTCCGACATTGGGTCCAATAGCCAACATAGTATATTATAATCATGAGCCTCGTGCTCGACGATGAAAGCCTCATACATATATCGATCTATTATAATAATTACAAGAGCAATTGGATGCCTTGCCCTCAACTCAGGTGCATTGGACCCCTTACGAGACAAAGTGATAGCATCACTCATTACTAAAGATTACTTATTTTTCTTGTTGTATGAAGACAATGGCCATTATAGAACCACATCATTTAGAAAGTGTTTTACAATAGTTTGGCTACGTACAGACCATTTTTTCAACCCTTTTGGCTTTATGTCAAGTCGATCGAGGTTATCCTCCAACACATACAAT